AAGTATGACCGGTCAGACATAGTGTATTTTGTAAGAGATTGTAAATAAAAAGTTTGTAACTATAACATTCCCCATATATATATATATATATATATATATATATATATATATATTTATTTTTATTTATTTACAAACTCTTACAAAATATAATATGTCTGACCTGTCATACTTCTTACAAACTCTTACAAAATACACTATGTCTGACCGGTAATACTTCAATCAATATATAGTGTAGGACCGGTCAGACATAGTGTATTTTGTAAGTGTTTGTGAGAAGTACGACCGGTCAGACATAATATATTTTGTAACAGTTTGTATATATATATATATATAGCGTGAGAGAGAGAGGTAGGATCCTTTGACACCAATGTCAAATTTGAAATTTGACACCTCATCTGAGAGCCGTTAGATAAAAAAAGATCAATGGTGTCACATGCTTACAAATCAAAGTCAATGATCTTTTTTTATCTAACGGCTCTCAGATGAAGTATCAAATTTCAAATTTGACACGGGTGTCAAATGATCCAACCATATATGGGGTTTATATTTTCACAGCTGATGTACGTGCAGCAGTCAAATACTTGCCATATATATACATAAGAACATTATATGTGAAAAATCATAACCACACAAAAAATGAAAACATTAAATGCAGTGAATCATAACCATACATCTGTCATTGTCGTATGTAAATCGATTGTAGAAATAATTATATATATATATATATAACAAAAAGTGAAAATATCATTTTAATTGTTGATCTTTAATCTATGAATAAATGAATGAGATCTTTCATATAACATGATAAAAATTAAAACAAATGTGATGCTCAACAAAAGATTATTAGTTGTTTGATGATCAATGGACATATCAAAAATGGGTTCATTTAATCTTATTTTGAAGGAGAGATCTTCTCTCATGTTGTGACACATATGTGGTGGGACCCGCCATTTAAAGAAAAGAAAAAAAGGAATGTCATGATTTTCGATGAGTGTGTAGGAGATAAAACTACTCTTATGCAACATAAGAGTAGTTTTTCCCATCAAAAATTATGTAAAATGTATGGTTAGAATAGTACAAAAAATTGTATAATAGCATTTGTGTTGTGTATTATTTTACACGTGATAAAATTAAAATAATAAGAGAGTACGAGTTATTTTTTTATTTTGTAATATGATTTAGAGGACAATAAAAAAAAGAAATTTATGTATTATTTTAACAAGGGTTTATAATTTGAGTTTAATGTTTTTGCTTTTGTTGCAAAAAAATTTCTCTGCCACATAGTGAATAAATATAACAAATTTTTTATTTCTCTTCTTTACACAATGAAACTCATTCATTTTTCTGTAATAAGTGAAAATTTTCTGCAACAAAAGAATAATATATTTCCTTTTTAACAAATAAAGAAAATGAAACGCATATGTGTGCAATGCTTTTTAACATATCTCCCATGACGTTGTGTTTGTTTCACAAGTATCCTGGTGGTGCAACCTCCACTGCAAAAAAATGACAAAGACGTAAAGCTAACTCGCAACTCGCAAAAGGACAAACTTTTACTAGCACTTCCAAATCAATTAACAATTTAATATATGAGGGGTTTTGACCAAAAAAAATGTAAATTTTAATAAAATTCACCTGTTTAGTTCGTTCACCAAACGTTTTACCAGACTAATGTAGGAAGACGCGTTTCAGGTGGTTACGCGTTTAGTCGTCGCGCTCGCGCCCCTGACACATGCGCGTTTCTAACAAATCTGAACACGTTGTATCAGGTACGTGTCTAAACTAACACGTCTGTACCAGATGCGTGTTTCTGACAAGTCTGACGATCACAATACCAAGATGTGTCAATATTCAGGCACGCGTGTTTTTGAAATTTGCAATTTTTCGATAAAAAACCCAACATATGAAAATACAAAACTTTATATCAACTTGCTTTCGTGGAAAATACGAGATAATGAGGTTTTTGAAAAAAGGAGAAATATTTGTCTTTTTAAATAACATAATTTATATTATTTTACTCTCATTAAAATTCACAATTTTATTTTATTTTTTTGTCCACTCTCTCCCCTTGATCTATCTCTTTCTCTCACTTAAAATAACATAATTTTATGAAAAAGGTTATACTTACAACCTTTTTTTTTTACAACCTCTTACAACCATATCTTAACACCCTTGATTTCCGCCAATCAACAGTTACGATTTTCGTAAATTAAACTCATTAATTAATTATTAATTCATAATAAATTATAACCATTGATTGACGAAAATCAAGGGTGTTAAAATATGATTGTAAGAGGTTATAAAAAAAAAAAGTTGTAAATATAATCTTCTTCTAATTTTATATCCTTTTAAAATCAGACACACTTTTCCATGTAAAAAAACAAATTTCCATTCCTCGAAATGGTATCATCACAATAAACTCGAATAAAGTCCTTTATTCTTTATCTACAGGGCCATAACTCATAATTGGGCATCTTAATACACCATTATTCAATCCAAAAGATGGTTCAAGGAATCAACATAACACTTAAATATTTAACTACATTCTAGCAAAATAGCTCACTTAAAAGAGAGAATGTACAAGGTTTTGCTCAGAATTCCAAGAAAATCAATATTTTGTTTAGTAACCAGAAATTTTCAAAAACATATTTTAACCTTACAGAAAAACTTGCAGTTTGGTATTTCTTTGATGTAAAGGAATCTGAACTAAACAACTGAACAGAATTATAAAATACCTGTAAGCTTTGTACGTAGTCTTATTATTGCATTCTTATAAAAAGATTGTTTTTCAAATCCAAACCTATAAACTTCACAAAAGAACAGATTTACCATTCTCTTAGGAGAGTGGTAAAGGTAAATATTTCACTTGTTGAACAGAGTTCCAATAATAGCAAAATAAGTAGTTTTTACAGATTATAAGACATTTCCTCAAGAGCCAAACTAAAACAAAAAAAAAAAAAATGAGAGAGATACAGAGAGGCTGTCCAAAGATTAAATAGTATGTAATCTAAACATTGATTAACAGATTAACAAAGCTTTAGCATTCCACAGTTTGCACAATAAGCTAGTTGATTCATATAGACAATGAAACTACATTGATAAGGAAGAAAGTAACAAAAGAAACAGCTTACTGATACAAAAAGGCAGTTACAACTGGTAATTTTTCCTCTATTTTCTGCTAAACAAGCTTCTCAATTTCCCTCTTTCCAATCTCTCAAGTAGCTTTTTAGCTCCTGGAATGTCCATCTCTGAAAGCTTCTTCAGATACCCAATTGCTCCATATGAAATCATAAGTTTCTTACATTTCTTACTTGCAGAAAGTGATCCAAGGCAAGAAACTGCATATTTTTTTGCATTGTTCTGTGGGCTCGGATCAAGCAACTGAACCAAATTTGGCACACTTTTATCATCCTTCTTAACATCTCTGCGATTTTGGGACAGAACCATTAAGCTCGCAATTGCTTGAGCAGCAATCTCTCTTGCACTGTTTGCTTTAGCCTCAAGCATCTTCACAAGAAGAGGAATGCATCCAGCTTCACCAACCATTTTCTTCATCTCCATTGAGCTGCAAACTCGGCATATAACAGACACAGCCGCTTGTTGAGCTCCCAAGGATCCAGACTTCAGCACATGAACCAAACGGGGTATGAAACCAAGAGAAACCAAATTTTCCTCAGAAACTGATCCAACCAAATTTCTCAATGCTCCAACTGCAGATTCTTGAGGAAGTGGACCATCAAGATAAGCCAGAAGACTCTTAACACCACCTTCTGATATAACAGACCTTCTCAAATTCTCATTGCTTGCAGTGAGATTCTGCAAGCACTCAGCAGCATACTCTTTGGAACCCAACAAAATCCCACAGTTCAGGAGGTTGATCATAACCTTCACAATACCTTCTTCAGCAAGAGTCTGTCTCACCTCAGGTACAGCTGATACATTCTTCAAAGTACAAGCAGCAGCAGCTTGTGACACAGAATCACCATTTTCACAAAGCTCAATCAATGGACGAACCCCACCATGTCCAACAATTGAACGGGTTGTTTCAGCTGACATTGACAACCTTTGAAGTGACACTGTAGCCTTCTCTTTACTCAAAGTGCTACCAGATTCAACAAGTCTTATAAGAGGTGGCAGAACTCCTTCAGAAACTAGCCAGTTTTCACAGTTACCTGATTCCACAAGAGAGCATATAACAGTAACCGTTTTCTCCCTTATCCTAGGAGATGTTGCTGTAAGCAATTGAACTAAAGCAGCAACATTGCTCCTACCCAGAACAGCCAAAACATTCTTCTCATCTTCTTTCATAACATCATAGAGTTTGTCTAAAGCTTTGTGCTTTGCTTCCAAGTGACCAATCTGAAGGCGAGCAAGAAGTTCCCTTATATTGCTGTGTGTTGCAATATCTGATTCTGCCATAGGACCAGAAGCAGTTAATGGCAAAGTAGCCTCACCAAGCACACCTGTCTTGGTCAAAAGGCCACAATCCCTTAAGTTCAAATCCAGTTTCCCAGTTAATGCATCAAGATCACTCTGCATCCGAAGCTTACCCCCATACTTCTCCTTCACACAGAACTCAGCCAATTCAATGGCTTCTCTGATTGTCTTTGACACAGCCTGCAATTGCTCCTTGCAAAGAGCATTCTTTGAGAAACAAGGGTGGCTAGACAAGTCTGATAAACGTGATGGGATTTGTTCCAATTTCGATATGATCATCTTCCACCTACCAGGGAAACCTTTAACCTCTTTTGCTTTAGCAAGAGCAACAGGAACAAGTTCCTGTGCTTGCAACAACCAATCTTCTGTTGAACGTGCATCAACTGCAACCGCATCCCCACCTTCTTCCACCATGATTTCTAAATTGGTTGGCGTAGTCTAGTAAAATTGATGATCACCAAAGCTGTAGAAATTAGAATAGAAGAAAACCAAGCTCAAAGAAATGACCAAGATGCCAATTTGTAGAAAGGCAATAATGATATTAGCATAGTAAATTAAAAGGTTGTGGAGCAGTTGCAATCATAAAATCCGTAAATTATAAATTAAGACTCCTATAGAAAATTCTCATATACATACACACACCCAAAAAATATATATATATATACTAGGCCAACATCAACAACTTCGAGAATCTTATGATCACACACAAAGCTTGTTTACTGAAAGCATGACTCGACCATCAAAACTGAAGAACCTAAAGGTGCCCCACGAGACTTTCTCTTACTTTAGCAAGTGATCATTTAATGCCTTTCCGAAATTCTAAACATATATTAAAATTCTATTTGAATAAGAAAAGATAAGTTAAACTATGGTTGATGAGAATGGCTGTTGATGAAAATGAAGGAATTGGCGTGTAACGACTAACAATGCAGTCCAATTAAGAAGCCCAGTCGGTGGAAATTATTATACAAGTATAACTCATAAGGCCTAAAAGAGCCACCTCTAACCCGGTACAAATATAATAAGGGATCCCTTTCTTGGGGTATCTTGGTCATTGAAACAAACCATGAGCACGAGGGTTGGTAGATATACTATCAAAGTTAAATATATACTAAGGATTCCTGTTTCTATAATAGAGGCTGCGGAAAAGTATTTCTTAGCTGTATTTTCCATCTTTCTCCTCATAATGAGAAAGGGAAAGCCTTTTCTTCAAAGGGAAGACAAACAAGTCTCTATCTACAAGTTGTATACAACCCCCCAAGTATATCCAATGAATAATCACTTATTATTATTATTATTAAACAAAAAAAAAATTCATGAGAATTCAAAATAACAAATTTGAATAATATATACCTCAAACAACCTTGACTTGCTCAATATTTCAAAGAATTGATCCTGTTGAGAACTATCACTGTTGTTTGTTCACTGTTTCTGCAAGCCCGAAAGTTAGACAAGTATTAGAGACTCCATAACATCACGAAAGTAAAAAAAAAAACCTTTTTCAAAAACATATATATTAAAAAAGAAAAAGGTAGAAGAAAAAGAACATATTTTTTCTGTCCTGTAGAAAGAGATCAACGAAAAGAAGAGATAAGAAAACAACTTGAAGGAACAACCTTTAAGAATGAGTAACTAAGATTAGCTTAATCTTAAAACTTCATACAAACATACACTAATGTAATCTAGAAATAGTTATATAAAAGGCACCAACCATCTAAGACTTTGCTTTGAAAACTCTGCATACATCATTCAGTCTTGAAAATGCATTGCTTCCAAAGTGATAACCAAGACAATGTTGGATTTACATCAAAACCATGCCCTTCACCTTCTAGAGACAACGCCAACTAAGAATCTTCTGTATCATAATTGAGAAACTGACATGAAACGCTCCAAATTAAAGTGATGATCAAAATTTGAAGAAAACCCCTGTTATAAAGTATTGAACTTGAATTACACAAAACGACACAAGCAGTACAATACAGAAAACGTTCACACCCAGTATTCAAAAATCAAACTTCACCACTCTCTCTCTCTCTCTCTCTCTCTCTCTCTAAAATGGATGAGGATGTGTCTGTAGTGAGGGAGGAACAGAGCTTATGTCTCATATGACAAAGCTTAAAGGTCTAACACGTTTTACGATTGGACGGTTGAGATTGTGGTTAGGACAGACAACGTTACCGTTGGGATTTGTTAAAATTTGAAAATGCTAAGGTTTTTTTACGTTACCAAAGTGATGACGTGGTTGACACTGCCACGTGTAATGTGGGGACAGCACCTACTTTTCAAAGTGGCTGAAATCCCACGTGCGAAGGAGACAGATTATGAAAGATTGTGTTCAGTTCTGTTTTGAATTACATATATTTGACATCGTTCTTATCTTAAAATTACGATGATACCACTCATGTTTGGTGAAGCAAAGCATGTGATATTGTGATGTGTATGTTTTTTAGAAATGGAATATTTGATACTTAATTATAGAATCAAATGTAAAAGCTGTAAGGATAACTGTTAATTACAGAATCAATGTAAATATAAAAAGGAATCCTGGGCAGGCTATATTAACTTATTTTATTTTTAGAAAAAATTGTAATGACAATTTTGTTGGAAGGGGGCTTTGGGTTGAAATTTTTTTAATAAAAAATTAATAAAATCCGATCACCCCATCTTAAATTTGTAAACCATACAAGTTTATCAGAAGAATGCTTGTCGTTTACCAATCCTTGCGGCATATAAATATTAATTAGTATCTGTTCGCAGGGAACACCAACTTGGGTATAAGGATAAGTGTTTGGGATGGGTTGGTTGATGAATATAATCCGGTATTGGTAAGGTATCAAGTGTGGTATCGGCTCTGGTTAAATTTTAATAAATATTTATTATGTATAATTATATAATTGATTATAATTTGGTCCAGTTTAAAATTATAATTTGACTCGGGCTAAAATTTGTCAGTTGACCCTATCAAAAAATTAAAATATATTTGGTGAGAGATTTGAGTAAGTTGTATTAAGTTGTGTGTTCTATTTCCATTTATATAAAAAAATGAGTAAATATCATTTTTGATCCCTATAAAAATATTCAGTCTCCACTTTAATCCCTTACAAAAAAAAATTAATCGTCTGGTCCCTATAAAATTCAAAGTGGATCCATTTTAGTCTTTTTGAGAAATTAATGTGGGTTTTTTTTGAATTTGTGTGGGACCACAATTTCAACTAAATGAGTCCACTTTGAATTTCTTAAGGACCTCGAGAGTAATTTTTTTTGTAAAGGACTCAAGTGGGTATCGTAGTTTTGTTAGGGACTTAAAATGGTATTTACTCTAAAAAAATTAAAATATATTCAATAAAATTAAAATATATTTAATAAAATTATAATTCTTTTTTATGCTTCCTCCTCAAGTGTTTGGTATTTAATATAATATAAATAAAGAAGAAATATTTGTCATTGTAAAGACATAAAGTTATATCATTTTAAAAGAGAAATAGACACAAGAAAATATTTTTTATTTAAAATTTAAATTAAAAAAAAAAAACCACTTACTTTCTCTTCTATGATTTTCATTCCTTGTGTATATCTCTCTCTCTCAAAATGACATAACTTATATCATTTAAAATGATAAACATCAAATCTTTTAAATAAATTATGATACGAACTAACTAAAATTAAAAAAAATACACATATAATTTTTTGGCCCGGGCTCCAGATGGAGGCTGGCTCCTCCACTGGATATGACTCTCATGAATGGGTAACTTTGGGTATCGATACCTAAATGTAATGCCCATTCATTTATTGTTTCTTGTATATTTATAACAAGGGATTGTATGTGTTCATGTTTCATGATACAGATTATATCACATTGTATAGGAGATTATTTATTGTGGTTCAGGACCACCATTTTTTAGGTGGTCCCTTACTGTAAGTGGAAAGATAAAATTGGAAAAAAGAAAAAATAGCAGGGGTAAATAGGGGAAAAAAATTGATGTTGTGAAAATGAGTATAGCGTCAATATGGGTTGAGCCCGACGGGTCAACCTGTCAACCCGTCAAAATGGGCGGGTTGGGTTGAAGTTTTCAACCCATCCACCCACTTCAACCCGCCCCGCCTAGAAGTGGGTCAAAAAGGGTTCAACCCGCCGCGGGGCGGGTTGACCTGCAGGGTTATATCTTTTTTTTTACAATTAGGTAATATTTCATTTGTTATTAAATTTTTGTGATATCCAATTTTTTTTTATCTTAATACTTCCTATAAAAGATAAAGAATAAGAGTTTTATTTATGACAAATGTTATCTATATATGGAGACAAATGAATTTCTAAAGAATGTTTGACAAATATTAGTATACATTTAAGATTGAGACTGAAAAAAATTAAGAGAAGTGTGAAATAAAATAATATTAAAAATTCATAAAATATAATTTTATTTTAAATTTTAATTAATTTTTTTTTAATTGGCGAATTGCCGCCAACACGACATCCCACCATAAAACAGGATGAGTTCAATTTTCAAACTCATATTCAACGGCGGGCCAACTCGGCCCTCCCCGTTTTTGGCGGGTTAGTGGCAAGTCGGGGCGGGGTTAACCCAAATTGCCACCCCTAAAAGGGAACTCTAGATTATTGGATGGTCTTGGACCATAAAAAATATTTCCATTGTAGAGATAAAATTAATAGGGTCCACAGTTTAAATAAAATATAAAAAACAAAATAAGTAGTGGAGCTCACCAATTTTATTTTTACAACATGATATAACTTATGTCATGTAACATGATAATTATATTTCCAATTATAATAATTGTTATGAGCGATTATGAGAGGGAATTGTGGGATAAAACAGTTATCTGTATGTGATCATGGCAGTTGTTAGTGGTAGTGCCGAATAATATTGATAATGGGTTTGAGTCAAATTTTTCTTCTTTAAAATAAATTTATCTATTTATTCAATTTTCAAATTGTATACCACTCTATTTTGACATAAATTAACTAAATAAGAATGCTCCGTTCAGTCAAAAAATATCTATCAGAGATCATTAAATTAATAAAATTGACCAAATTGATATTAAATTAGTAATAAATTTGAAATTAATGTTAAAATATAAATTATTATTAAATTTATTAAAATAAATAATCTTTAAAATCATAAATAATTCTTAATTAGCTAGCGCAATCCTTGAGATCCCTATTTCATTTTTTGTTGGAACAAAATATTCAATCCACTAAATTTTTTTTTTACAAATAAAAAAAAAATTTAATAATTACATTGATATTATTAATAATAAAATTGACATTTTTAAATTTGTGAAGATTTTAAAATATCATCGTGCAAATGAGACTCGTATTTTGAAATCCCTACAAATTAAAAAATTTCAAATCTATTACACTAATAATAATAGAATTATTAATTTTTCTTTTCCTTTCCCTTGCTTGAAAAAAAAAATCGAGTGAATTGAATATTTTTAAATCTTTAATAAAAAATTAATGATCTAATTTTATGGGAAAATGATTTAATGAATATGACTGGATTTCATCTCTTAAATACATTACTATAACGTAAATTCATTATATAAC